TAGGGCGCAGTGGTAGGCTCCTATGAACACGGTAACGGAGTTTCTTGTTCATAAAAGCGTCACATTTATGCGGTATAAATTTGTCTAAAACATTTGTCATACTTTGAACAGGTAAACTTACGGAAGTAAGGTCCTGTGTTTCCAACGATATCTCCGATATAACGATTATGGTTGGAAATTTAACCTAGTAATCGAACAGTTTAGTCTAGAGGTAACATTGTTTTACTTTTATTTGGGAAATGCTCAGTTCTAATGTCGACCGGGACAGCAGTTATCCTGACAGAGGTTTTTCGTGGTTTTCTTAATTGCCTTAAGAAATATTCCAGATAATATTTCGATTATACTTGTATCAGAACCTCTTCCTTGCAAATCCTTTCCAATTCTTCACCGTTCATCTATCATTCGATGCTACACAGTAATACCGAAAAATTAATTATCTATGTTTATTCCTGTTACTCCTAATCAGAGCATGGAACATCCGTGAAACGCTTCGTTTCGTTTCAGTTTCTTAATTTTAGACAGTCGGTAGGACTCCTTGGACGGGGGATCAGCCCATCGCAAGGCCGCTACCTAGACAGAACACAAACACAGAATAAACGCAGATAAACATCCATGCCTTGAGTGGGATTCCAACCCACGATCTCACGCTAGGCCACTGTTATTGTTGAAAAATTTCGTCAAATAACTTGAAAAGAAAACAGTGTAGTAACTTTTAATTATGACATCACAATCTACGTCAGTATCAAATAATTACACTCCCTTAGAACTGTTTAGAGCAGAGTATATCAGTCTCTCAAATTCACGCAACATAAAACAGAGCTCCTGTTCGGAAGCATCGCCGCAAGGACGCGTAAGTGGAGTACAGGCTCTGGTAGGGACATGACTCCATTAGCCACGTGACTCAGATGATGCTTAAATGAATTAGACTGGCAACGTCAGGTTATTACAGCAGCCAGTGACAACATTGACGCGATGAAATTGAGATGGAAGATGGGGCCTAAATCAAATCGGTTGGCAGCGCTAATAAACCGTTTCTTATTACAGAATTTACGTATCATTTTGCCCTTTAAAGTGCGCCATCCGTTTCTGTCAAGCGTTTGTACCGAAATGTCGCAAAAATAAGAGCCTATTAACTTAGCAATGTCTTCCTATCGTTTCTCATGTAGTAACTCGAGAATCGCTAAATGGATTTTCATTAAATTTAGTATTGTGGAATTCTGCTAAAATATGTGCTTAACACATTCCAGTTTTGGTTTAAATTGGACAACAGTAACGGATATTTTACATTTATGCCTACAAAACGCGCTAGCATAACAGTAACGCTACAGCCCTGGGAGGTTCTGAGTTCTGTTCTCAGCCGCATTCTTCTTCGATCCTTCCAGACAAATGTTTGTGTACTGTTTGCATTTAGGCCACGGCCGCTTCCTTCCTAATTCTTTCTAATTCATCTATTATATCATTGGACGTTAGGAGTTGAGATAGTTCAGTCGATGTACCGAAAAGCTACGGGCTGGACGACAGGGGTTCAATTCCCGGAAGAACAAGGAATTTTTCTCTTCTCTACAGTGTCCAGACCGGTTTTGGGGCCCACCCACCCTCGTATCCAGTGGGTACAGGGGTTTATTTCCCCGAGGGTAAAGCTGCCGGGGCGTAAAGGTGACCACTAACTTCCATCCGACGTCAAGAATGTTGGAGTTGTACCTGCAATCCCGCATAAATCTTCATGACGTAATTTTAATTAATTAAGCACAGGAATAACTTTACCTGTTTTACATGGTGTAGTTACTCACTGGTTCTATTATTAAAATACAAAAGCATGAGATTTTTTGCGTACGTCCGAGCATGAATCACTGAATGTCGTAATAGCTAGTGTTTCGGGGGGGGGGATTGTAGAGGAAAATTAAAAATATATTTTTATGTCGGAAAAAAGCTTTTTCAGTCCTGTCTTCAATTTTTCCTAATGGTTCCTAATTAAACAAAAGCGATCATTTAAATGTATTTTCTGAATTGAAGATTAACTCTCCTCTGGGATGTGACGTCGTCTAGTCTTGTAGATGGTTATCGGCGTTTTGTCTTCTGTGATAAAGATGGAAGCAGCAGGTCGATCCGAAACTTCAGTAGCCCTCTACCCGATCACACTGCGTCACATTCCAGAGAATTTCTTCTTCGTAATCACCGCTGCGAAAGCCTCAAATGTCACATTTCCCAATTTACTTGCCTTATAGCCTTCCAGTTTATGACACCATATGTGTGATCACCAGGACCTGGATTTTGATGACATCTTTTTTTTTCCTTGTATCATATTCGAAGCCCGTAAATATAAGTCACAGAGATGAGCTGCTGGTTACAGAAATGTAACGTTTATAGGTAATTTTTGTCATTTTTTGTCACTTTTTAGGTCATTTTTTCGGTCTTGGGACAATTTTTCGGTAAATTCTTGTACTTTTAAGGGTACTTTTGTAATTTTAGCCATTTTAGGGAATTTTTCTTCATATGTTTTCAGAAATATGATTAGCACGCAAGTAAAACTGTCTTTCTCTTTTCCCTGCCTCTACAAAGGCAGCCTGCAGCTGCATCCCAAATACCTGCCACCACAGTATGCAATAATAAGTTGTAATGTCCCGTCCTTTACGTTCGTTTTGTGGAAAATGCTGACATTACATATCATGAAACATTTTAAGCTGGCAGCAGTCACCCATACTGCGGCTCTTTCCAAAGGAATTTGCTTAGTTACAAATATTTCTAGTCAGCATCCCTCGCTTTTTGTGACATATTGTTGCTCAACAAAACTCCGTCTGTCTTCAGTTTCTCGCCCTTGACCGTGCAGACAAAGATGCAGTTGACGAAAGGTTTTCGGTGTGAAAAGTTCAGTTCTGTGTTGCACTAGTGATCCATTTTATCGCGATGCCTAAAGCAAAGCCATCTAAATCGTGTAACTTAAAGCAGATTGTAGCAAAATGTGGAGATGATATATTTTCAACTGACGGTAACATTTTATACTGTAAGGTGTGTGACACAAAATTGGCGTCAGAAAAATATTTCACGGAACAACATACTGGCTGCAACAAGCACATACGAGCAGTGCAAATTTCGAACAAAGATAAATTTGTGAAAATGTTACTGCAACAGCGTTCATCTGAAGGCTGAAATAAGTCATCGGATTTGTTCACAGATCTGTGTTGTGCTCCGGTGTCCTCAAATATTCCGTTTTGGGTTCTGAAAAATGAAAAACTGAAACATTTTCTTGAAGTGAATTGTGGTCGTTCTATCCTGAATGAATTCGCCCTCGGGAAAAACTACCTTTCCAAGTGCTACAACAATATCCTGGAAATGGTTAGGAATAAAGTGCAGGGGAAGAAGAATTTCGTTCTTATTAATGAGACCTGCGATACGGAGGCTCGCTACGTGGCAAACGTCATCATTGGAACCTTGGAAATTGGCGGACCAGGTGACGTGTTTCTGCTCACGAGTGAGGTGCTAGAATCCGTTAATCATTCCACAATCTGTAAACTCCTCGACAGGTCGATGTTTCTACTGTGGCCAGAGGGTATACGACACAACGTTTTCTTGCTTTTTGTGACCGATGAGGCCCCATGTATTTTAAAAGCAGACAAGTCAATAAAGTCGTTTTATACGAAATTGGTGCACGTTACTTGCCTAACTCATGCACTGCATAGAGTGACGGAGGAAGTGAGATCAAGATTTCTTCAAGTGGATGCTCTCGTGTCGTGGACGAAGAAGATTTTCGTCAAGGCTCCTGCTCGTAAAATACAATTTAAATCTATGGCTCTTGGTGTTCCATTGCCCCGGAACCTGTCATCACAAGGTGGGGAACGTGGATTGATGCTACAATTTACTATTGCTATCATTTTCAGGTAGTAAAAAAACATTGTAGAGTCAATGAAGACAGAAGATACTAGGGCAATTAGAGCTTCTTAGGAACAGGTCTCGTGCAGCGAAATTGAAGGATAGCTGGCGTTCATAAAGGCAATTTCAGTTCCTTGATGGAACGAATCAAATGCTTGCAGGAGTAAGGAGCAACGCTAGAAGATTTGCTCGCTCTCGCGAAAAAAAAAAAGCCAGTGATTTGGAGAAAGTGTCAGGGGACATTGGTAAAATGGTGCCAAATTCTGACAGGAGAGTCCTTCAGCACTCTCAGTATTGAAGAAGAACTTACTGCTAGTGATTTGGTACACTTCAAATACGCTCCCACTGTGTCTGCAGATGTGGAAAGGAGTTTCTCCAAGTACAAGAATGTGCTGCTGGACAATAGGCACTCACTCAGCTTCGAGAATCTCCACATGTTGACTGTCGTCTATTGCAACTCTGAATGAGGTGGAACTTAAATAGTGGAACATACACCGTATATGTACGTTTGATAAGCGTTCCAACATTGTAGAAAAAATCGTATTAAAACATTTAGCTTCAAATTCAATCATATATTGCGTAATATTCAACATAAAAACGAGGACGAACTTAAAAGAGTAACGATGAGTTCACAGTGTTACTAGAGATTAAAAATACATTTCAAAACAATTAGTACATTTTCCATGACGTTATACATTTTAGGTTCTTTTTTAACTTTTAGGTCTTTTTTTTTATTTTTCGGTCAATTTATAGGTCATTTTTCTGCATTTTCCATGATTTTCTAAGTAATTTTTTTGTATTTCTTTCAGCCATTTTTTAAATATTTTTAGGTCATCAAAATCCGGGCCCTGGTGATCACTAACGTTTCGGAGGGACCTGTTACATCTGTCTTGATGGTTGAAATTGGTGATAGTAGTAGTCATCTGAATTATGACACAATGTAGATTCGTAAGCAGTTAGCGATGTTTCGGAAGAACCTGCTGTCTCCACTTCCCAACTTTATCTCCTGCGCTGTTTCTCCGAAACGTCAGTTACCACCTATCACACCAAACAGTATCGTAACTCAGAATGCGATGATCTAATATTTAGTCCTGAGGTAACTCAAATCGCATATGTTGTTTCCTTTGTTTCAGTTCCCATAATACCGGAGTTTCTGTACGAGATCCGACACCCGAACGAGTCGATGGTCTCAAGCACCACCTCCACCAGCACCAGCACCCCCACCCCCACAGTGACCACTCCAGCACCCCCACAGCCTTGCAACAGCCAATCGGGTAACTTGAGTGAACCAGCCAGCACAGCCTTCGAAACTAGTGAGTAGCCCAAAGTCTTACTCGTACTACGACGTTTAACAACCGTTCAGTGTGACTGATAGAAGTTGTTTTTAATTTTCCATCCTTTACATGTTTTCATCAAAACGACCATCTTCAGAAGGATATTATCAATACATGTAGAGGATTAAGAATTAAAAACACAACTTTTATCAGTCGCACTGGTTGATGGTTGAGAATCTCATTTTTCAAGACCGCGCCATAGCTCAAGCGGTTAGTCGCTGGCTTCCCACCGCGGGTCTGGTCACGTGGGATTTGTGGTGGACAAAGTGGCTCTGGGGCAGGTTTTCTCCGAGTACTTCGGTTTCCCCTGCCAATATTCATTCCACCAATTGCTCCACAATCACCCTCACCTATCATCTGGGGCTGGTACAATAGGCCAGAAGTGGCCGCAGTACAAGGGACTTAGTCCCACCCCACTAGCAATAAAAAAATCTTATATGCAGTTACTAATGTGACGGACCAGGAAGAATCAAGTTAAGTTCAACTATTATAATTTTATCCATCACTCTGTATGGGTGTGTAACTTGGTATTTCTTCTTGGAACGTAGACTGAGTATGTCTGAGAAGAGGGCGCTGAGGAGAGTATTTGGATCTAAGCGGGAGGGAGTAACAGTAGACTGGAAAAAAATGCGTAATGAGGAGCTTCATAACTTTTTCTCCTCGCCCGATATTATTAGGACGATCAAATCAGTGAGTGTGGAATGGTGGTACATAAAGCATACAAAAGTTTATCATTATGCCCGAAGTAGAGAGGCCATTGTAGAGATCTGGGCATGGATGAGAGGATAATATGAAAATGAACCATAAATAAGTGAATAAGTGGACTGTGGTTATGAATGATGTGGACTTAATTCACCTGGCTAAGGATACAGTCCATTGGTGGGCTCCTGTGAACATGATCATAAACCTTCCTGTTTTATAAAAAGCAGAAAATTCCTTGAGCATCTTAATTACTACTAGCTTCTAAGAAGGTCTACGCCGCAGGGAGACAGCAATTAGTTAGTTAGTTAGTTAGTTATTGGAGAGGGTGGGTTTCCCCATGCACTGAGACCAGTATTGGTCCATTGTGCTTCCCTCTATGATATTCTACCAGTCTCTATACCCTACCGATATTGGTGCGTACCATCAGTCCCGACCGAGCCAGCGAGTTCGGCCTCTACTGGCTTGGCGGTATCTATAATGCTTCCCCCATCTATCAGAGGCGTTAGAGACTACTGTTGGGCGGGAAATGTCCTTGAATTTAGCTCAGTGACCTCCTTTGGAGATATGAGGTTCTTTTACGTGCCGTAAAGCTACGACACGGGACCCACGGCTTAAAGTCCCTCCCGGAGGACTTGTTCCCTGAATTTTTCCGCCCTTAAAAATTCCACGACCTCCGCAGGGTTTGAACCCGCGTACCACGAGTCATGAGGTGGGAACGTTACCTCTAGACTACGGAGGCCGCTGAGACAGCAATTATATCTAAGCTTATCTATTCACGCGTTGCCTCTCAGTAAAGAGAACTTGTTTCGTAGCTATCCATACCTAGGTTCGTTATTCCGCTGTTGCAGACATCACGACTACATTATCACCAGAGCAGGCATTGCAGAAGAAACGGCATGAGGACTTGATCAAGGAGACCGTGCCCGTTGGAATGATGTTCGCTTCTAAAGCCTTCGTGCAGCTGCTGGCCAACCCCATCGTGGGACCTCTAACTCACAGGCAAGTCAATTCCTACTGTTGCTTTCAAATGTGAAGGCGGCCTAGTTGCGATGTTGCCACTAAGACCGACACTTCAGTCATCTTGTGACTTGATAGCACTGTGAACATGAACGCATTATTCAGCTTTTACTTAAAATGAGTAAAGGAATTTAAACCAAATTCTCTAGCTAATATGTGAATAATATGATATTTATATCCTTGAGTCTGCTTCTTCATGCGCGTTCCCTTTGTTCCATCTGTATGCATGCAATAACATGAAAACCGCAGAGCGATTTTCCATGAAATCCAATACCGGAAAGTACAAGTAAACTTCATCTATTCATTCAAATTTTGGTTAAAATGAGACAAAAATAACAGGCGCTTCTATTTAATTTATTCGAAAACGGTAAGACTTAGAGAAAAAAGTATCAGACATAAGATAGGTTTAATTTCTTTCTACAACTACTTTCGAAACGTTTTTCGTTCCAATAAATATTTAAACCATTATACTCGATGTGTGCGCAGAAAAGCGTGTGGGCCTTTATGTAATTATTTGTTACTCTTCTCTGAGTTTAACCAAAGCTGGAATGGACTGACAAATTTTAGAACTTCTCAATACCAAAATTTACAAAAATCCATTCAGCAATTCTCGAGTTCTTACAAATGGACAGACAGACAAACATGGCAAGGCTAATAGATCTTATTTTCCAACTTACCATTGCAATAATTTCAAAATGGGTCAATTTTTACATGCATTCATGTAAAGTAAGGTTTATACTGAACTAATGAGTTGTAAAATTAAATTCGGCCAGCAGGATTTAGTGCAAATACTCAGTACAAAATTTAATCTAAATCCTTTGAATAGTCTAAGTTAATGAATATGTAGATTGACAGGTGTGACCTCCAATTACAACTCTGCTCTTTTTTAACAAAAAGCCTATAAACAAACAGTCGCTATCACACACACACATGTCCGTTATCTGCCAACAGAAATGCCCTTAGCACTTGTGAATGCTCCAATCTAGCTGATACTGTGATGTCAGACTCCTAAAATCAGATGATTATAGAAGTCTCATCTCTGTTCAACAAAAGGTCTAATATTTTGCTTTCATTCAGCTATCTGCATTTTGTAGCTTATGTGCCACAGCATTTCACTGCTTTGTATGTACCAACCTTAGGTCTTGGGTAGATTCACTGCCCAATTAGGGGTCCAAAAGTTGTTTTTATGTATATGTCGCTGATGAAAAGAAAGTTACAGTATGGTTTCGATAGTAACGCTACGGTTATATTTCAACAGAACCTGATCTTCTAGGTCATGATTTTGCTCTTGCAGTTCTACCTAATTTCGTTCTTGAATGTTAAAGTGATTTTGACTGTTTTTTTCTTCTTTTTTTATAAATGTAGTTTTTGTTTTCTTTCAGGATTGGCTACAGTATACCCATGTTCACAGGATTCATCATCATGTTCTTGTCCACACTCAGTAAGTCATGACCTACTTACTATACAGTGGCCAGGTCTGAATGAAGTGTTCTCCAACACACTCTGTTCTTGAACCAAAAAAAAAGGCCTCTTAGAGGGCCATTTTTTCGTTACTCTAATTCACCTGACTTCCCTCCATCTCCTCTTTATTCACACAGAGCCATTATTTCATCCAATAACTCTGCCATTGAAAATGACCCTTTTAAGAGCCAGTTTTCTCTACATTGTTCTCCTAACTCTGATCCACTCAGTACCCAAGTCCTGTCCTCCCTCTGTATAACCATACCACTTCTTTCCATGCTTGGTTTAGGCATCTACCCTGAATGTGAAGGCAATATGTTCTTCCGAAATGCTGATACACACCTAACAGATGACAATGTGAATGGAATCTTAAATTTTAATGTTGATTATAATTGTTAGGCCATAAGAACAAATTGGGACACTTTAACTGGTAAACTGACTAGCTAGGGGCTGCATGGACCAGGAATCGGGGTTCATTTCCCAGCAGGGGCAAGAGATTTTCTCTTCTCCTTGACATCAGGACTGTCTCTGGGGGTCCATTCGGTCTCCTGTACAATGGAAACGGGATTCTTTCTCCTGGAATAAAGAGGCCGGAGCATGAAGATCATCATACACTTCCATCTGATGCCTGAGTTAAGAATACATGGAGCTCTACTTTCACTCCTCCATACATTGTTGTAGCTTGTAGATTAATAAGCACAGGAACTCTGACACAAATATGTCTGTCTTAACCCAGCAAGTTGATTATGCAGTAGTGCTTCTGCCTTATATTCGGGTGGCCCCGGTTTGAATCTCTCCTATCATGCCAGCTATCCTGACTGTGGCTTTTCGTGGTTTTCCTCAGTCCCTCCAGGACATTTCCAGGATTCTATCACAATTAGGCCATGACCAATTCCATTAAAATTATTTCCAGTTTATTGTTTACTTATCATTCTTCCATTTGATATTATGTAGTCTGAGCTACTGACAGTGTTGTTAGATAAAAAATAAATAATTCTATTTCATTTAGCTGTTCACACCATTTTTGTGCATTTGTTATGTTCACACTACATGAACTTTATTCCTTAATGTCAGTCCAAGTCATGCATACTCCTATAGATCTATTAGGCTTAGATAATTATAGTTTAAAATGATTTTCTGAATTGGTTCAACTTGTAGTATCCATAACCTATCTTATAATGTCGTGATATGTATGTTTTTTATAATGTTAGCATGTTTCACGCAACTAGAGACTGACAGTGAAAGCGTTTCCAGCAAAATATTTAATTATATTCCATCGTGGGCCACAGAGTGTATAACACTGCATTAGCCAATTTGACATCATGATGGAAGATGCACTGGATCAATGAAAATTTAATTGGAATTGGTGTTCACTCTGGCCGTAATGAAATTACAGCAAACAGGAAACGGAAGTGGTAGAGGTTCTTTGACTTTCAAATGAAACACATCACTCTCATCATGAACTGGTTGATCCTCAGGTACATGAAAACCTCATACCATAATGAAAACTGCTGCTTTTTCATTTTCCTTTTCAAGGTAAAAGAAAATGAAATATGAAGCTGAGAAAAAACTTTCATTTGCAGACCAATGTTGTTTTCTTTGAAGTCATTACTTCATTGATGGACGGCAGCATAATATGTGCCAGTCATCCAAAAATACTAATGACTTAAAGAACGAAATTTTTATTTTAATAAAAATATAATAATACACATAAACAACATTGAAAGTACTGTCTTTTTGGATGTGACATCATTTAATTTTGGAAAAGTTTTCATGTGACTGTCTTTTGCTTCCATCATCAGGGTCAAAGGTTAAGCCATGTAAGCAGGCAGAAGGAACTCTTTACTGCTTGCTTGCTGTACTTGCTCCTTGACCTTGAAGAAGGAGGCAGTATTTTCTTCCAAAACGCCGGTGAGCTTTTATCAGATTATACGGTACGGTATCACATCTCATATTCACTACCCTGAGAACCTCAAGCCTCACTTGAGCATTATTTTTTGCTCCATCAAAACACAATCTATTTATAAATGTACTTTTCCCAGGCCCCAAAATCTCATTATGGCAGCCCTACTTACATGACCATGTATCCATTTCAAGAGGGCTGGAAATCCATAAATATTATTGCATGGTTTTATATCCTTACTAAAAACACAGAAATCTTGGGTTCAGACATGGTTCAGGTAAATGATTGTGCATCATAATTTCTGAAGCACTAAGATATACACAATTACAATTATGCCTGTTGTTTTATATTGGTGTGAACCCTGGTCTCTTACATTGAGGGAAGAACCTAGACCATGTTGAATAAGAACAGGGAGTTGAGGAGAATATTTGGACCTAAGAGGGAGGAAATAACAGAAGGGATGAGAAAATTATATAATGAAAATCTTCACAAAATCAAGAAGCGTGAGATGGGGGTGGGGAATGTAGCACATATGAAAGGGATCAGGAAATCATACACGGTTTTTGTGGGAAAACATGGAGGCAGAAAAGCGTTTGGAAAGCCTACACATAGATAGGAAGGTAATGTCAAAATTGTTCTTAAAGGAGATGGGTGGGAGGGTATAGGATGGATTGAACTGGCTAAGGATAGGGTCTGGTTGGCAACCCCTTGTGAAAACTGCAATGAACCTTCTGTTAACATAAATAATGGACGATATTTTCACTAGCTGAGCAAATATTTCCATGTGAAGAGGGGCCCTTCTAAATAGAGATGCTTATTTGCAGCAACTGTCACTGTAATCTGATATGTAGATGCTGTGTTGTTTCAGTTTTTGCATTTGGGCGCAGCTACAGTGTTCTGTTTCTGGCAAGGGCACTCCAAGGCATTGGCTCCTCTTGCTCCAGTGTTTCAGGTGAATGATCATATTTCAAATATACTCTGCCTTATGTCAGAAACTTAGTACGGGTTCCTTACCTCGCATTTGGGGTATATAATAGGACTTCACAGTACCCTAGTAAAGTCTGTCTTAATTATATGCACCTAAAAATTATAACTAGGCTGTGGAAGTATGAGTACAGTGTACAGTTTACAGATTCACTCAGCAGAAGGAATTATAAATGATCTTCATACTATTTACAAGAAAATATAATGCAGCTAATATGAGAAAGGTGAGCGATATTCTATAATTCTAAAGGTGCTTTGTTTTATTATATAAACTGAGTTACTAAACCTGTGATGAACCCTACCTTATAATAAATAAACACTGAATTCACATGTGATTATTCACTTGATACTTATTGAACTTAGTTAAAAGTCAAAACTATATACTGCATATGGCCACCATGATCGAAACCTGTACCATTTAATAAATAAATATATAGCAAACTATTATATAATGTAGTTGCGCAGATGAAAGGTCCATAATTTCATATACTGAGTGACTAGGCAACTCATTTGCAGTTATTACATGGTTTTAAGTAAAAGTAGACATTTGTATTTAAATGTTGTGTGACATACACTTCAGAGTTATATTGCAACAGGGCACTACATTGGAAGGATGAAACAAATCTGATTTCAACGCAGACTAAACTCAGTATACACTTTCCTTCTTTTTGTTTTCTTTAATTGTGATTAATTGTGATTGCGTTCAGAGGGCCATGTTTCAGTGTTGAATATGTAAGGTGAGATATGTACTCATATTGATTTTCTTTAATTATCTCAAAAACTGTGTGACTTCAGGAATTTTGGCTGCTGTATGTTGTGTTATTGACAGAGAAAGCAGACGTATCCCCAGATGAAAAATGTATTTATCTGCTAATATTTTACACTATTATTCAGTTTTAAAAAGGACTGTGGAAAGCTAATGTTAGATTCTCTGTCTATTCTAGTGGTAGAACTATGAACTGAGTTATATTTGATCACAAGAATATAGAACAAATTTAGGGGCCAATATTGTGTTACGGAGGTCAAGCTGTAGCTTGACTTCTGACTTCTGACTTGATCGACTTCTGTCATTGTACTCATTATTTTACCTTATTTTTCTCAAACTTGGAACCTAAATCCAGGAATGGGGATGCTGGCAGAACGTTATCCTGATGATAAAGAACGAGGCAACGCCATGGGAATTGCATTGGGGGGGCTGGCGCTGGGGGTGCTCATCGGCCCACCCTTCGGAGGTGTCATGTATGAGTTTGTTGGCAAGTCTGCACCTTTCCTTGTTCTGTCAGCCCTGGCTTTAGGAGATGGATGTAAGTATAAATTATCACCAATTCCTTGCAAGGATTCACTTCCCTGAAATAACCTCTTAACTGTTTGAAAGTAGATTTTAAATTTTGTGTGCAATGTTATGGAATGCACCCTTTGGAATCATGTTGCAGTACTACAGCTGCTGATGCTGCAGCCTGGCGTGGTGAAGCAGGAATCAGACCCTCCATCTCTCAAGACGCTCATCATGGATCCCTACATCATAGTGGCTGCAGGTAACACATGCCTACTGTTATGCCCTTCATACCCCGATTGAAATACGAGTATTCACCATATAGAGACAAACGTATGTCTCCGAAAGAAGGGAGCATTGAGAATAAAGAAAATGATGGTGATAATAATGGTGGTGATAATATGATTCTGAATGTCATGGTCAAATGCATAACATTGTGATCTGTCATGGGTTCAAAAATCTGATCAGAGACCAGCTTTTCCTGAATGAGGTTTCCATTATTTTTGACAGTCTCTCCAAGCAAAACCCGGGACAGTACCTCAAATTAGGCCGCAAATGCTTCTTTTCACGTCCTTTCTGCATCATTGTCACTATTCACCCTGTCAGTCAATATTATGTAGTTTGTTCTATCAGAACTATTATTAAATAGATATAAATAAACAAGTTATATTGTTCATACAGCATTATTTGAGTAATTTAAATAAATGAAATAATTTATCTAATTTGTAATACCCATAGCTGCTGCAATGAAATCAATGTTAGTCAGCCACGTTTGATATTAAATACAGTGTCTTTAAATAAGCTGTCCATTTACCATTAATCTGCTTAGATAATTACTGTGAATACTTCAGGTGAGATGATGTGCTAATGTGTTACAGGCGCCATTACATTCGCTAACATGGGAATCGCAATGTTGGAACCGTCACTGCCTATTTGGATGATGGACACCATGGATGCTGGCCGCTGGAAACAGGGCGTCACCTTCCTCCCAGCCAGTGTGTCCTACCTGATCGGCACCAACCTTTTTGGGCCACTAGGGCATCGCATGGGACGGTATACCCCACCACACCACACTCCCACTTTTGTAACTTAGGAATATAGAACCACAGAAAAGTCTCACATAAGACAGCTGATTCTCTTATTAAGATTGAAATCTGAAGTCTCCCAAATAGAAGTCAGTTGTATTGGGTTCTGTTAGAAAATATGCAAATAATTTTACGAAATTTTGGTATTTGTCAAGCAAATACACAAGGTATGCAACTTCATTTGGGTCTTCAAGTAAACTGTCAGTTATATTCGGTCAATATCTCCAGAATTAATATTTTTTTATTTTTCAAGTCTCTTATTTGATCCATATTTGTACATTTTCAGGTCTCTCAGTTGATTCATGCATGTCCATTTTATGATCTTTTAATAGATTCATGTTTGCATGCTTCTGGCCTCTTAGTTGATTTACATTTGAACATTTCCAGGTATTTTAGTTTATACATATTTGCCTTTTTCAGATATCTTAATCGATTCATACTGTCCATGTTTATGGCTCTTAGTCAACATTTCATCTTTATCGTTTTTTCTGGTCTTTTGGTTAAAATTTTATCAAAATCTGATGAAAATTTGGGAATAGTTCAGCTTAGTTTAATTTAGAGTTTAAGAATACAAGTAGTAAGAACACATATGTTCCAAAGAAGTCAGACAGGAGAAAATACCACAAGGTCTTGACAGACAGCTGCCCTTTAAATTCATATTCAGTCTCTGTTCCCTTAATGTTTAATCTGTTTTACTTACATGAATGCAAGATATTTAAAATTACATTCATATTTGATGCTCAACCTACGTGTGACAAACGTCTTCATTCCAGATGGCTGGCATCTCTTCTAGGGCTCATTATCATTGGAATCTGCCTCATGTGTGTAAGTATCTGTCCTGTCCTACTGATTTGTCTATGTGGCTGACATTTTGGACGTTGTGTATCCTCTCAAATTTTTTTCTATCCACAACATTTCAGAAACTGAATCCTTTTATAGATTCATGATTTGACAACTGTGAATATTAAGATGGGGAACAGTGTACCCACTTGTACTCTGCAGCGCAGTGGTTCTCGACCTTTGTGAGACCACAGCCTGGTAAATTCTGTCTTTATAATACAAGGGCCAGTGCCTGGTACCAGGCCACATCACTGTTGTTGAGAAACACTGCTGTAGCCAGACTCCAAGAATTTAAGGTGTTATGAACAGTTTACGCTTTTAGCATTTGTGAACCATGTGCATGTCTTTGCTTCATATTAGTTGTGTTGTCACACTGCTCACCTGTACAGAGTTCTTGTAAATTTTGTGAGTCACTAGAAACAGTATGCATCACATATGCTGTCTGTCTTGAATCTGACTTTCATATTTTGTGAACCACAACAATTATATGTTACACTTTCTGTCTTTCTGGATGCAACTAACGTCTTTTGTAAGTCACAAATAACAGTTAACTGTCATGCTTGTTGTGTTGTCAGATTCCTCTGGCACGCAATATGAATCACCTGATTGTTCCAAATGCTGGACTTGGCTTTGCGATTGGCATGGTGGACAGTTCCATGATGCCTGAACTTGGTTACCTTGTGGACATTCGTCACACTGCAGTGTATGGCAGTGTTTATGCTATAGGCGATGTGGCATTCTGCCTGGGTTTTGCTATAGGTGAGTCAGATTCAGTACTGTTCTCTGAGGGCTGTCACATGTAGGCTAATTATTTAACTGCCTGTTAATTACTTTCATCAGGAAATATGTCAGAAGGCACCAGTCCACAAGAGTTTTGTTCTGCTTGAGAATTTAGAAACTAATAGCTCAGTCAGTGCATAGCCTTTTCAGGCTAGACATCAGGAAAAGGTCTTCTCTTTTTCTTCATTATTTTCCTGTTCTTTCCCCTTACTCTTTTTTTCTTATTATTTTTATTCTCCTCAGCTATTTTTTCCTCCTCTCCCTCCATCTTCTCTTCTTCCTCTGTCTTCTCCTATTCCATTATCTCCCCTTCCACCACATCATTCTCCTCCCCTTCCTTCTTCATCTTTCTTTACTTACCTCCTCTTGATTCTACTCCTTCATCACTTTGCTCATCTGAATTCAATTATCCAAAATCCTGTCTATAGTCACAAACATACGTGTGACAATATATTACCTTATTTCTGCCAGAGCTTGAATACATGTCTGTTGTCTGGAATTACCTTACTTTAGCAGATTCGAATAAGCTGGAAAATATACAAAGGAAGTTTGCAAATTTATGCTATAATAGACTTATTCGGCCCAACTCCTTTTATAATAATGAATCAATGTTGAATTACTTACATTTTTAAACGTTTTATTCCAGGTGACAAAATCTTGACACTATATTTCTTATTAACGTTTCCAAGTAAAAAATTGATTGTTGTTTTATTATGGAAACTGCTGGCCTCTGTGTAACCACTAAGCAAATTAGAGACTTTTCCACCATTAAGGGCAGTAATGTCTCAAGACTTAGCCCTTCAACAATGTGTGTCACAGCTGTAAACAATATGTGCAGATTTCTGGACGTTCTCAGTAAACATAACATCTCCCTCAAAGATACATTTTGCTTTGCTAAATTCTACTGCGTTACACCATTGTCATGTTAACTTCTATTATTTTATTGCCTAGTATTTAATTTCAGTCTAATTCCAGTTTTAGTGCTAGCCGTAGTCTTGTTGTTGTTGTTGTTGTTGTCGTCGTCGTCGTCGTCGTCGTCGTCGTCGCCGTCGCCGTCGCCGTCGTCGCTGCTGTTGCTGTTGCTGTTGCTGTTGCTGTTTCTTTCCTCCTTCTCCTCCTCCTCATCATTTTCTTCCTCTTCCTCTTCATCTTCTTTTCCTTCACCTTTTCTTTCTTGAGCATCCTGACCCATATATTTCTGCATTCAGAGTTTGAAAACAACAATATGGTGTGATGACCCTGTGGCATAGCCTGCTTTGCATTGCATGAGAGTTGACGAAGTTGCCAAATCACATGGTTTTCTTGAACTTTGCAATCTTTGTTGTGTTCTGTAGGTCCTGCATTGAGTGGCACACTGGTGAATACCATTGGCTTTGAGTGGATGCTGTTCGGCATTGCAATCCTGAATTTCCTGTATGCGCCGCTCATGTACCTGCTGCGGAATCCGCCAACCAAGGAAGAAAAGAAGGTGCTGATGCCAATAACTATCCAATAAGTCTACAGTCAGTGTCATAGGTCACAGAAAGAAGTTCCATCAATTAGAGTCTTCCATAATCTCCCTCCAACTGTCACATTTCTCCCCCAAATGTACTTGCCTACATTATCGTGTTGTCTAGCCAATGTGTAATCTTAATGGTAATCTTAATTATCAACGAGGGTAATGGACTTGTTGACATAGGTCTGAGGGGCTGGAGGGAAATACAAAACTAGGTAGAGAGGGGGAAGCCTATCATCCATGGGGCTTCTTTCTGTGGCCTCAGGAATCTTTCAAACAATGTTGATCCAATCACAACTGTTCAAAATTTTATATAGTTTACTTCCTAAATTTTGTAAGGAAACACACAATAATAACAGTAGGAACAGCCCTCAGTAACATCATAAAAAGTGGATAAATTACAGAAGAGAGGGAAGTTGAAAAATATATGAACCTTTGTGTAACAAATGAAGAGAGACCGCACTGAATTTTCAATAAGCATTGCACCATAATCTACAAAATTTAGTGCTCTGTAAATTAAAAACTTCTCAGGTGACAAAACTTAAGAGGCAGGAAAATATATTACATGCTTATAGCGAAGTACATTTTACGTTATGCATGGCAATATTAATTTGTATAATTTGTCTCTTTGCTTCCTCTGTGTTTGGATATTTTATCTAAATATGAGAATTATAGCAGAAGCTAAATTAATAATTTATTATCCCCTCACCTTGTATATAGATTATTCATAAATATATCGTAAAATTAAGATAATACCTTATTTGTGTATTAGTTGGCTTTAAGTGAGGAACTGAATGTTATAAGTAATTTAAAATTAGTTGAGAAACCTTTTTGCTGCACTAATCTTTAGTTGTATTTATTGAAACTGTATTAGATGATTAAGACTTTTTGTTCTGTTTTTAACTCTTATTTCATTTTGCAGTATTTCCAATATAATATCTTAAGCATTTGTGCTTCTCTGTTGTAATTATTTTTTTGTTTATTAAACTTTGCTTACATGGTATCCATTTATATTAATGTGTTATACCCTGCCATTATTTCATTTTGCAGTATTTCCAATATAATATCTTAAGCATTTGTGCTTCTCTGTTGTAATTATTTTTTTGTTTATTAAACTTTGCTTACATGGTATCCATTTATATTAATGTGTTATACCCTGCCATTATTTCATTTTGCAGTATTTCCAATATAATATCTTAAGCATTTGTGCTTCTCTGTTGTAATTATTTTTTTGTTTATTAAACTTTGCTTACATGGTATCCATTTATATTAATGTGTTATACCCTGCCATTTTCTCTTGGTTATCAGTCCTTCTCTTCACAGTTATTTTGAAATTAAACCTGAATATTTCTTATAGATCATTAGCCTTTAAGTTTCATATTTATTTTTCTTATTTGTTATTTACTTATTTGTTTATTTATTTACTTATTAGGGCCACGTCATTTCTCAAGCAGTGAGGCACTGGCTTCTCACTGCAAAGTCTTTGGTTCAATCCCAGGTGATTATGAGTGATTTTTTATGAACACTGGAATGTGTTTATCTCCAAGTTTCTTTGGTTCTTACCTGGTATTCATCATTCCACCGCTGCTCCATGCTCATCTCACATTGTGCAGGAGCTCCTACCAGGCAGCACATTATCATATACTCGGTCTTGTAAGTCTGAGGATTCATCTTGGACCTGGCACTTGGCAGATTATGATATGAGGAAGATTTGTTTTATTTGTTTCTATATTAGTGAATTATTTTCAACCCTACGAATAGCTCATTTTATTCAGTGTCAATGTTCTTCTACTCCCTATATGTTATGCATCAGTGCATGTGAATGCTAAGTATAAAAATAAAAACTAATTAAATATATAAAATATATCCCAATAAAATTGGTTAATGGCAATCTGTTAGACATATTCCAAGAAGTAAAGTAAGTATTTAAAATATGCAATATTTCTTACAAAGATTTTATTACAGATTAGGTAATCAATTAACCCTTTAAGGGACAGTCAAAATTCTATGCAGTACATGCCTTAAAGTTCAGTAACTAGATATCTGGCCCACTGAGAGCATTTATATGTTTCATTTGGTTTGTACTATGAACATCTGTTATTTTATTATATGTAAATATCCACCCGATTTCTCGAACAGATATCTGGTGCTATTTCTTTGAAGTATCAATCAAATTTTTAAATAAGCCTGTTATTTAGATGGAGTTTGTGTTTTATGATTTGCCCTGTAAACAGCCACATTTCATAGTTAAGTTTATGCATGAAGTAAATATTATTATTTGTTCAATATTATCACAAAAGAGGCAATACCATGGTCCAGACACACACTAGCTTCTTACCATAATGGCCCAGGTTCTAATCCAAGTAATTTCATGTGAGATTCATGGTCACAAAGTGACACTGGGGCAGGATTTTCTCCTAGCTTCTTCAGTTTCCCTTGCTATTCATTATTCCAGCAGCCAGAAAATTTGCTTACATAATTGGGTTTGTTGTTATTTTGTATATTTTCTTCTTTACTTCATTTGTTTTTCTAAATCCTGGCAGAGACAGATGCCTCCCTCCGGCAAGCACCCATGATTGGCGGTGCCTGTAACAGTCGAGAAATTGACTGATACTGGTGATCAACTTCAGTATGAAGTCACTGTAAGCCCAGAAATATGTCTCTATCTGGATGAGATGGTGTTGAGAGCAGTCCAAAGTTCCTGCCATGAGTGGAAATCTGGTCAGGAATAGACATCTTAGACGGCTTGTGTATAGAGAACGGTGTGACAGCGTAGATCAGCCAAGTTGCCACCTGAGAAGGTTGATTTGAGACGCATTCTTTACTGCTGCTCTTTCATTCAAATCGTGATCATTAATTGACAGCCATAGAAGTATGTTACATAGCAATAAATATAAATGTGAACTACGTTACTACCATTCTGTAATCAAAAAACAGTAGCAACACAGCAGTTGCTGTGACTAGATATCATACTACAGGGGATGTACAAAAATATGGAAACACCTTGTGAAATGTATGCCTGAATTGAAGTGTTTATTTTAGCGATGTTTGTAGGTGACGACGTCGTATCTGCCCAATAGCACTACCTGTACAACCTCCACAATACGTTGCAAGCTTCATCTGTTGTTGAGACAGTGTTCTGTGCAGTTTTTAGTGCATCATGTCAGAGCTAACAGAATTCGAATGCGGGAAAATTGTTGGGGCATGTATGGTGGGTGCTTCCGTAACCAAGGAAGCCGAGGTTTTTGGTGTTTCGCGAGGCCCAGTACCCAAGATTATGACGGCATACAGGACTGGAAAAACCTCATCCGATAAATACCAGCATGGACGGAAATGTGTGTTGAGTGATCTAGACAGACGAACATTGTGTAGGATTGCGACAAAAAATAAGAAAACTACGTCTGCAAAAGTGANTCTGATGCCTACCCTTTGACCTGTCCAGCAAGGGAGGCCCTGCCAGTAGCTACGCTACCGCTGGTATAACTCTCAGGGTCCTTGGCATACTCAAACCCCCTCACCACGATAAGGTGGAGACACCAACGAGGGGGAAAACCACTCATCAGTGATCAAAATGCCACTATGAGGAGAGTGTGGTGCTGAAGTCATAAAACCTGGATATGGAGTAATGGAAGACGGTCATTTGGTTGGATGAGTCCACCTTTCTGACTTCTGGCCAAGTTTACGTCTGGAGAACGCCATCCCAAGCTTACGATCCAGATTGTTTGCTGCCAAAAGTGAAACATGGTGGGGGGTTTGATCATGGTATGGGCAGCCATATTGTGGTATTCTATCAGACCCATCATTACCCTGCAAGGTCACTTCACTGTCAACGACTATGTGACCATTTTAGACAACCAGGTCCAGCCCATGGTGCAAACTTTGTTCCCCAATGGTGATGCCATTTATCGAGACTACAATGCGTGTGTTCACACAGCTCACATCGTCCAGGACTGGTTTTCTGAGCACGAAGATGAAGCGTCACGTCTGCCATGGCCCCCACAATCGCTATATATCAATATCATTGAGCCTTTGTGGTCTGTTTTGGAGAGCAATCTGCGTGCGCGCTATCCACCTCCATTATCGTTAACAGAACTTGCCAATGTTTTGCAGGAAGAATGGTAAAAGATTCCCTTGAAAATCATACAGGACCTCTATTTATCCATTCCAAAGAGACTGCAAGCAGTTCTGCAAGTCAGAGTTTGTCCTACACCATATTAATCATGGTAATGTGTTTTTTGTTGGGTGTTTCCATATTTTTGTCCATCCCCTGTACTTTAATTACATTCTGTCTGGCTCTTCTCTTAATAACTATGGCAACAACAGCAGTCTAAGTCACAGTCTATGGGAATTTTTTGTTATTGTGACCAAGTTATGAAAAAGTTAAAACTGTGTTTTTATTAGGCAAACGGAATTTCTTGACTTTTGGGTGGCATTTACTCTTTTACTGACCGTACCTACCTCCACATAGGATCTATGGGATGGGTCCATATAGCTTCTACTCCCATTTTGTATTTTTAACTGTTTGCATTAAACAAGAAATATTTTCTATGGCACCTGAGAAAACTATGCGTTGTCCATTTGACTTGAGTGCTGGGCTGGAACAGTAAACCACATGCCCTGCCATTAGTAAACCTAAAACGTTTACTCTTTCAGACGCAACAAATCAACTTTTGCGTAGTAATGGTTTACTGTAGGTTTATGAAAGTGATATCAAACAGCAATTCCATTTTTTTCGTTATCTTCTTCCATTTGCCCAATTTCCTGCCCTTCTCCATCTTTTTCCTCTTATCCTCGGCTCCCCCTTCTTATTTTGCTCGCTTTCTGATGGTCTGAGAAATGGAACAGATTAACATCATATGTAACAATTATGTATTTCATTCCAGTCTTTGATCCTTGGAGAGAAGTCTTCAGTACGATATGTGACGTACCAGAATGAAGATGACGATGAGTAAACATTATTACTGTCACGGTATTTATACCACACTCTGAAGATGGTGTCCCAGCCCAAAATGCTGGAATTTGTCTTTCGTTGTGTGTTCTCAATGAGAACAGTTCACAAATACAAGAAATGCTCGCATTGCGTCAGTCAATCAAATAACGATAAACTTGGCCGAATGCCTATATAAAAACCAATCTATTTACTATTGAGCAACTCCCGAATTAAATAATATAAATTTACAAGTACTGTTCACTATAAGAATATGCTTGTATGCACTGTGAAATATCATATACACACATATATTGTCGATTGATTGTTTATATTCCAGTGCATGCAACTTTGGGAATGAATATACCGATCAGAGAAACTGTAAAATAATATTACCCGATTAAGAAGAAAGGTTTATAATGCTGATAGAATGAATATGCATTAAATCTAAGACGGATTTATCATGTACTATAACTATTTAAAGACATAATATAAAGAAATGGTACAGATGCGCCTTACAGAGACCTCCAAACATGATTTCATTATTTCTGAACAAGTAAAAATTAAAGAAATATAATATCATTTCAAAATTAGTCATTTGACTGAATTCCTACTGTAGAACAGTACTACTCTCATTTGTTGTAGCTTTTGAGTGCAACACACATTGAAATTGACATATTTACTTCATTTTATCGCGTGTAGTCCTTTCCAACAGTTTGTTTTCACAATGAACTTAATCCCCACAACAACTGTATATCTGTAAGAAACAGAATTGATTCAAATAAGGCATTTATGAAGTGTTCCAATAGTTGACTTTAATATGAAGCTAAACATTTTTTCTCTCATGGATGAGGGTTGTCCAAACTGGGCTATCATATTGTGTTGTATTTTATTGTTCTTAATGTTTCAATGTGATAGCAAGTTATGATGAAATTTTCCCCATTCACAGATAGGCCAGACGTTATGAGGTACCAGCTTTGGACAACTCTTTTTTTAATACATGAGCCAAAACAATGTAGACCTAATTAAACGTCATTGTTAGTTTTCTGAATAGTTATTCTCTATGGATAATGTCTGTATTGTGGCTGTCCACGTACACAGGGCTGTCTCGATGCTGGTACAGCTTTATTCTTTACATATTTCAGAAGTTGGTTAGCATTAAGGAATTAATTTTTATAAATATTTAAAGTGTGTACCAGAAGTATTACAACAAATGCTGCTGACCACTGAATATAGACAATAAGATAGAAATTTATTTCAACTTGTTTATTACATGATAATATGATTACTAACAAATATTCTATTCTGGTACACAATTCCAATTTCCTCTCCTAATAAAAAACATTTTAATATTTCATTAAGATACTTTGTTGAGAATTGGCATTATCAGTCGGTACAGCCACTATGCTACGGACAGGATGACCAGAGAATTGGGGTTCAGTTCCTCCTGAGGACAGATTTTTCTTCTTCAATGTGTCCATACCAGCTTCAAGTTCCACTCAACCTCCTCTCCAGCCAGTATCGCATGCTTTTTCCCTGGGATAAAGCTGTCAGGACATGAAGCTAATCACTCATCTCCATCTAGTTGTGAGATTAAGAATGCATGGAGCTTTACCTCCAATCCTCCAGAAATTCTTATAGCATTGTGCTTAACTAGACACAAGGACAAAATTGCCTTTTTATCTCTGTTATTAGACCTGTATCAAAAATTATCCATATTTAGATATTGAAGATTTACTGTTTGGAGAGCTCTGTATTTGCTAACAGCGCTGAATATCACAACAAAAGCCTAAAAACAGGGTAGCTCAGTGGAACAAAACTTGGTACTTTTCATTATTCTTCATTTCCTCTAAATGCTTTCATTGGCCAGTGATATGTCTTCATATTATCTGCAAGCAAATTAAATTTATCCATGGCCAAATAATTTGCATTACCATACCAAACCCACATATCACAACTTACGTATGTATACCTCTTCCAGATATTCCATAAATTCATCAAACAAGCGCCGTATCAGTGTCTGAAGTCCTTTAATATGTCCAACTGACTGTAAAGATATCAGATCATCTATTTTAATTAAGAATGGTTTTAAAAAAATTCCCTTGATAAAATTTAGTATCTGAAAATATTTATTTTTCCATATTTTCAATAAATGTAAAAGTATGTTGCGAATACATCGCACTTCTACCTTATCAACTTCTCGTTGAGACTAGAGTAGGCTTTGTAGATCTGGGATGATGATTAGTATAGCATATGGGCATTTTAATCCCATTAACCCACCGAAAGCGACTTCGATAAGAGTGCATAAAATTTGAAATTCCATTGATATTGCATAATGCATATGCCGGGTTTACACCTGGAAGATGGGTGTCCTTACTAAGGATTTTTGTGAATGGCTGCACAAAATCCGATTACTATAAGGTTCAATTTAAAAAATACACCCACGTACAATTTCGTTTCTAATTCGGAATCAAATTGCGCATTGATTTATAGACTAAAGCGCTCTTATCACTCCAACACTGATGATCGTAAAATCGATCAAGACATTTTAGTAGACTCTTGTGCATCTGCCAGTATCTCGATATTGCAAGATATCAGCAACAATTGTTGTATTGTGCATGACTGTGTCTGGGCTAACCTCTCAGTTCATATTTCTGCCACGACTTTGCCGTGACAAATGCCGTGTTAGTCAAACCGGTCAAACCAGACTTTGTTTCCATCATCTAATTACTACATGCCAAGAGAAACAGAAGTATATGACTCAATGCATTTTGTGGCGTTAGCCAAATTTTGTGTATTGTAATTAATAAATCAATCAAGAGATACACTTATCATTGTGCATGTAAAACTAGCATGTTGTGTATCTTATTTATGTTCTACTCTGTATAAATACATATGCTGAGGTTGTTTTTTTAAATTAAAAAAACTTAAAGAAAGACAAACTTTCTTCAGACGAGCTGAACTCACTGCTCTCTGAATTGTCTTTGTGAATAGACAATAAAATGTCAAGACAAAGCTAAAATATTTCTTCTCTCTGCTGCGCATTTAATGCGCTCAGCTGGTTTGGGTCCGAATACATTTACATGACGAGCAGCATCAACTTAACACCATCTGGTGGCAAGTTTGAGAGCTGAGGGGCTCGTCTGTAAGATATATTATATTAACTATATATTCTTTATGATAAATATTAAATGTGGGGATATAAGCAGAGTATTCATCTTCCCCTTATAAATATCCGGTTAAGTGTTGCGTGGCATTTGTAAATGGAGTGCTTCAAATGTTCTATAGTGTTTGCTGAAATGTGGTGCAAATAAATGGCAACTAAAATGTCCAATAAATCCCTTCTTCTTTATGACCCTGTCTTTCAGCGTAAGTATTTATTTGCAAAAATAAAACACAGCCATCATCCCTATATTTCCTATCATATCAACGAGGTCATTGAAGAACCACGAAGTATTTACAGACTGTTACCATCACTCAGGAACTTAATGCTGGAAGCTTCCTATTTAGGTGATCCTGTGGAGAGATTCCAGAATCAAAGAAGAGCAAGACAAGTGACTGCTTCCAGTATTTTGAGGAATCTGATATCAGATGACTGCATCAATTGCTGTTGAATGAATTAAGTACTTTGGAGATGGGTATCTTCCCCAGTGGTTTATTTTACAGCTCTGCGTCGGACACACTATTAATTCAAGGAAGGTTTTTTTTTTATTTTAAACATGTCTACCCAGTGTAGTAGCATAAACATGAGCAAAGAGACAGAAACTGAACTCCATGAACATTTAAAACATTTCAGCTGCAAAAGATTGCAGTACTTTTTTGATCCCTGGAACACACTATCATTCATATGAAGTTTCTCGAACGTAACTGTCATTTGCGTTCGTTTTTAAATGAACAGACCGGAACAGATTATATGATGATATTGACGTCATAGCTATAAACAGCTTTTGAACAAAGATGCTGCTTCAGTCAACTTCTTTGTACAGAACATTAAGCAGTCTGATGACCTGAAAGGGAATTAGAATTTTTGGATTAATTTCACATGTACGCAATCTGGGCTCAAAGAAATAACAATGATGATGTTAATAACAATGTAAAAAATGAAAAGTGTGTAATGTTAATTGCTCTCTCTTACTGTAGTCTAACGAGCCGGGATAGTGTTGACTTTCAGCGGACTGCAGGTGTTATAGTGAAACTGGGATAGCTTTGGAATAACAACTAGGCTATGGTCTGTATGACTGAGGAATTGGGATTTGATTCCCAGCAAGGAGCAAGAGATTTTTTCTGTTCTCCATAACATCCAGACAGGCTCAGGGGCCCAGCCAGTCTGCTACACAGTGGGTACCTGGAGCTCTTTCCCCAGGTACAGAGTAGCCAGGGCATGAAGCTGACCTCTCACCTCCATCTAGTGCTGAGGTCAAGAATGTGGAGCTATACTCCCCCATATGTCTTCATGGCATGGTGCTTAATTAATTAAGCTTATATATAACTTTACCTTTACATGCGGTTATACTCCAAAAGATAGAACTCTTTACATTTTATGCATAATCATGTATTTCTTGTAGCACGAACCTGTTGATGCAGGTGGATGGAACTAGGACAACAATGGTGATGCCTTTGAATATATCAATGTGAAGCCAGAACTAGATGATCACCAGCAGTTCTGCTCATGGATGAGTTATGGAGAGCCGTAGACACTGTGCAGTCCACTCAGATGAAACATGTTTGTTCATACATCAGTTTAGAACTTGTAAATAATTCTTGGCATAACTGTTTTTAATACTAACAAAGCAGTTATTTGTCATCCTTGTAAGAGGGTTGTTGCCACACCACTACCCTTCCATTCATGTCTCCAACTCCGACCAACTGATGACTGTAAACCAGAAACAGTGAAGGGTATTACATATTAGCGGGTGATCCAATAACATTAGGTTAGACTTTTGATTTTGTTCTTAAAATAGTAGGCCTTTGATTCCATTTTGAAAAGGTTAGGTTCCTGGTCACCCCCCCCCAGTTTAATTTCTATGGTTGACAGAACTAACATGGCAGTACATTTCTGAAGTTTATTGGGTCACTTAATATGTAAGTACCCAGTAACATGTTAATAATTACCAACCTTTCCAAGTATGTGCTCATTTTAGGTTCTACCTGTTGGTTTATTTCATGGTGGTGGGATCAGTGTATAGTGATGGAGTTGGTGGAATTTAAGGTACATGAAAACATGAACCCAAAAACTGGATGCAGACATAGGTTCAATGCGTGTAGATCAAAGATAATTTTTTGGGGTCTGGGGTCTGATAGTTGCTATATCCGTTGCTATAAGACATTGTATTTATCTGCATTTAACACATTTATCAACATAATGCCACCTCGATTTTTAGGGCTCTACCTTGGAAGATGGACTCGGCAAGTTCCTTCAAAAAATTTGTACCTACCTATTAGACTAGATTGCATCTAATTGTGTCTAAAACATCTTTGAGGTTGTGTGTCATCACTTTCTCCTTATGTCAGCATCAGAAAGTTACTAGATTCTGTTTTCAGCACACGATGGGAACTATAATCTCCATTTCAGAGGTCTCGAGCACACAAGACTTTCCTTTCATAAGGTTGCCTATTCAGAATATGATGTGTGCTCAGAGGTGTTTCACACAGACAGTACATGGTCTCACATCCCTGGAAGATTAAGCTTCCTAGTCAGTGTCTTGAAAACCTCAAACCTCATGAAAAAAATTTCAATAAAAATTTAGTATATCCTTGGGGCACACAGTAGCGTAGTTGTTTCAGGCACAATGCTACAAGTTGGAATGTCACAGGTTCGATTCCTGTTGAGGTCACTGGATTTTTAATTGTCCTAATCCTTCCAGTCACACTATGGCCCTGGGGTCTACTCAGCCTCTAACAGAAATGAGTACCAAGAATCTTTCTGGGGGTAAAGGGCAGTCAATGCATAAGGCTGACAACCTCGCCGCCATCTGTCTGCTGCCACATGTCTAGAAAATGTGGGAGCCTCGATGTCTCTCACATGGTCCTCCATGCCTCCATGGTATGCTAAAGGGATAGCTTTACCTTTTTTATTTAGTATATTCTTATGGGTAATTAATGTCTGCGTTTCATGTCAGCGGAGATCTAACTCATTCACACAATATGTCATAAATGCCGCTAAAAATGATACAGATTACTGGGTACTTACATATGTACATATTCATGTTTAATGACATGATATGCTGTAAATTTTAAAGTACATTGCAATCAATGCGATCAGATAAGTTGAGCTTCACTGCACTGAAAGGGTAAGTATAAATGAGCTCAGCTGATATGACATGAGCTCAGGAATGCTCAGAAAAGTGAAGAATTTGGGTTCACTGGTCATTGGGCATAGCTTTTCTTTACTCCACAGCATCCAGACCAGCTTTGGGACCCACCCAGCACCCTATCCAATGGGTACCAGCAGCTCTGGAGGCATGAAGCTCACTGCTTACCCCCATCTAGTGCTGAGGTTAAGAATACATGGAGCTATACAGGGTGTCCCAGGAGGAATGGACCAAACTTCGGGAGGGTGTTCCTTATGTTAAAGTATGCCGATATAACCCAAAACACCTATGTCCAAAGTTGAACGGTTACGGAGATAATGGCCCGAGAAAAGTGTGGTCTTCTTGCAGGTCCACGCACTGTGGACAGTCAGCTGTGACTGTTATCTGTTTGTACTTGAGTGTGGTGATGTCACACTAGCCGTGATCTCATGCGCAACCTACCAGAGCCTACAGATTACGTTGCGGCGGGGTCGTGAATGGGTGGTAAATTAGTTGTGTGATGAGTTGCTGAAATGCCT